AATAGTAGTGAATCGTGAAGCACCGCGTCGTAATAGTAGTGAATCGTGTTGCACCGCGTCGTAATAGTAGTGAATCGTGTTGCACCACGTCATAATAGTAGTGAATCGTGCTGCACCACGTCGTAATAGTAGTGAATCGTGCTGCACCACGTCGTAATAGTAGTGAATCGTGTTGCACCACGTCGTAATAGTAGTGAATCGTGCTGCACCACGTCATAATAGTAGTGAATCGTGCTGCACCACGTCATAATAGTAGTGAATCGTGCTGCACCATGTCGTAATAGTAGTGAATCGTGCTGCACCGCGTCGTAATAGTAGTGAATCGTGTTGCACCACGTCGTAATAGTAGTGAATCGTGCTGCACCGCGTCGTAATAGTAGTGAATCGTGAAGCACCGCGTCGTAATAGTAGTGAATCGTGTTGCACCACGTCGTAATAGTAGTGAATCGTGTTGCACCACGTCGTAATAGTAGTGAATAGTGTTGCACCGCGTCGTAATAGTAGTAAATCGTGTTGCACCGCGTCGTAATAGTAGTGAATCGTGCTGCACCACGTCGTAATAGTAGTGAATCGTGTTGCACCACGTCGTAATAGTAGTGAATCGTGTTGCACCGCGTCGTAATAGTAGTGAATCGTGTTGCACCACGTCGTAATAGTAGTGAATCGTGTTGCACCGCGTCGTAATAGTAGTGAATCGTGCTGCACCACGTCGTAATAGTAGTGAATCAAGCTGCACCACGTCGTAATAGTAGTGAATCGTGCTGCACCACGTCGTAATAGTAGTGAATCAAGCTGCACCACGTCGTAATAGTAGTGAATCGTGCTGCACCACGTCGTAATAGTAGTGAATCGTGCTGCACCACGTCGTAATAGTAGTGAATCGTGTTGCACCACGTCGTAATAGTAGTGAATCGTGCTGCACCACGTCGTAATAGTAGTGAATCGTGTTGCACCACGTCGTAATAGTAGTGAATCAAGCTGCACCACGTCATAATAATAGTGAATCGTGCTGCACCACGTCGTAATAGTAGTGAATCGTGCTGCACCACGTCATAATAATAGTGAATCGTGTTGCACCACGTCGTAATAGTAGTGAATCGTGCTGCACCACGTCGTAATAGTAGTGAATCGTGTTGCACCACGTCGTAATAGTAGTGAATCAAGCTGCACCACGTCATAATAATAGTGAATCGTGCTGCACCACGTCGTAATAGTAGTGAATCGTGCTGCACCACGTCATAATAATAGTGAATCGTGTTGCACCACGTCGTAATAGTAGTGAATCGTGTTGCACCACGTCGTAATAGTAGTGAATCAAGCTGCACCACGTCATAATAATAGTGAATCGTGCTGCACCACGTCGTAATAGTAGTGAATCGTGCTGCACCACGTCGTAATAGTAGTGAATCAAGCTGCACCACGTCGTAATAGTAGTGAATCGTGCTGCACCACGTCGTAATAGTAGTGAATCAAGCTGCACCACGTCGTAATAGTAGTGAATCAAGCTGCACCACGTCGTAATAGTAGTGAATCGTGTTGCACCACGTCGTAATAGTAGTGAATCGTGTTGCACCACGTCGTAATAGTAGTGAATCGTGCTGCACCACGTCGTAATAGTAGGTGAGGAGAAAAACATTAAACTTGCCGCTGTTCTTCATTCAGCTTGTCTCGCCATCTGGCAAGTGGGGCAACTGGACATTTCTTCTCGGCTAGCTTGTTTATTAACAATAGCTTGTGCCACATTTGTGTGCTCCTTGCTCTTTTCATGTTTGTCAAATAAAGGATGGTTGAAATTCTTTGAGAATTTCCTTTATAAAACGCACCTGTTTTGTCTGCTAGATGTGGACTTGATCGGCAAATCTTGCACCACATTTCAGTGCACTCATCGTTAGCTTCAAGCAACAAAGTATTTTTTTTCGGCTCTGGCTCCAGTTGGCGTTTCTTTGTAGGTGGCGAAACGCCAAAGAAGCTGCTTAATGTCTGTTGCTTTTTGGACATCTCTGACAGTATAACTTAGTTGACAAGCAACATGTCATGTGTAAGGTTAGATGAGAAGATCGGTTAAGTATGCAAAGGTGCGGAGTAACCGTCGCATTACGCATTCCTGATTTTTGTCGCACATGCATAGCTGCATACCAGTTATGTGCACCCGTGGTTATAGACAATATAAAAATATTTAGTTTGTTACCTATTAATTTTATCTGTATGGTTACTGTGTTTTATAGAGAAAGTACTGATGGACTGTGATGGATCAGACTCTGAAAATGAGACTGGAAATGGTGCTTCACCTTCAGATTCAGCAGGTATGTAGTCAGCTACTGAAAGGGAATGATAAGAAAGCTAGAAAAGGCTTCTTACGTCTTCTTAAGTCTCACCAGTTTAAACATTCACGTGATCTTAAACTATTCGGTAGGCTACTTGTGCGCTGTCGAGATTTCTGTCGGGTTTTTTTTCGTCACACATACAAGCCGCCTCACAAACAGCTCACGGGTAACAAACTTTATTTTTCGTGGATTATATCACTTTAACAGTCAAAAACATGCGAAAATCATGTCAATTTCGGTCTTGGTGAGTATCCTCTAAACACATTCGGTTATGTCTTAATAAGCATACATCGCACGTGACCGTATAATGTTGGTACTACAGGATCTGTGCACGAGCTCACAGTGACAGCAGCCATATGTCTAGTCTGTCAGTAATTTGGTTGTCAAAACAACAAAACATAGCTTTAATTTTAATGAATCAGGATTAATATCCTATGTATTTAATTTAGTCAGGACTAAAATACTACCCTGTGTTATTTTACATTTGATTAATTTATTCAGTCTCTGTAGTATTTCTGAATACTAGTGTCAGACCTAAGCAAAAACTTTTCTCTTTATAGGTATCTTTATTCTATTGTATTTATTTGTGCTACTTTTTTTCAATTTAATTCAAAGATTGAAATCAAGCTTCCTTGTGTTGTATAAATTCTTAAGAACAAAAATACCCCATTGTAAAAATGCAATGAGTGAGCATATAGGAGATAAAAGTAATTAAAAAAAAAGTCTAAACTTCCCCCATCAAATAAAAAAAATATTTTTTAATTAACCCCCCCCCCCTGGATAAAGACTGTAAAGACTGCACAATTTGTCAAGAAGAAAACACTGTGGGGTGCGGCAGCTTTAGTTAGGTCCTATAACTAAAATGTTTAGTTTCTAAAGGCTTAAACATGTAAAGAAAAGAATTTACTTCTTCAATTTCCCAAGCAGTATTTTATGGTTAAGACCAATAAAGCCTAAATATTGTCACATTTTCAACCATGATAACTAGATTTTAGCAAACATGTATGTATAAAACTGTAAAGAAATGAGAGAAAAAACAAAGAACATGTATTTATTTGATATGTTATTCACGTTCATGTCGTGTGGGAATAAAATAAAAATAACTTTTATCCCAATCACAATTACTAATATTTATTTTTATTTTATTCAGTATCTTCACAAAACCCACGGAGAAAGTGGTCTAAAGAGGAGATCCAGGCTGTGGAAAACACTCTGATGAACAACATCCACTCTGGGAAGGTTCCTGGTAAAGCCCAATGCATGGAGTGCATTGAAAGGTCACCAGCAGCACTTCAGGGGAGAAGTTGGGAGGGGGTGAAATTTTATGTTAAAAATCGTATGCTTTAAAGCGAAAAATGTAAAAGTCCTTTACCTAGATGGGGGTTTATTTTCTGTTTGGGCAACAAGTTCAAAATGTGTTTCAAAACTCAAGTGAAAACACTGGTACTTAAATAAATGTTCAAGAGCATTAAGAAAACATAGATTCTTGTTTTTTTTTGTAATAGCCCAAATGTCCAAACTTCTCTTGGGGAAGTTTATGGGGGTTCTACGTCAAATGTCTTCTACTCAAAAGAATTCGGTGTGGTCCCAAAATTGTGGCACACTTGCATAAAAAATATAGATGGATAAACAGACCGATATAAAGACATACAGATGCCAGATTGATAGATAATACAGATAGATAATACAGTTTTGTGTTGAGTTTAAGGATAAAAGATTTCCTCTTTTCTTTTTCTCTTTTTAAGAAGAGAGAGGACAACAAAATCATCCTCACTGCTTAAAGACTGTTTTGTATTGTTTGGCGATTTTTTCCACAACGAATTAATACATATTGGACTCATGGGGCTTCCCAGGTTTCTGTACGTGACAAATTTGTAGTATTACGAATAAGAAAAACACAAATAGCAGTATATTTCGCAACCCTGTTGAATGCCAGGCATGTGCTGTTTTAATTCAGAGTTGATTCCAGTATGCGCAGATCATTATTCAGCAAACACAATTATACCCGTGGGGTCAATGCCCCATGACCATTTCCTGCTTGTCATACAACATGACTGTCTTATTTATCAAAATGTGGACCTTTTCAGATTCTCAGAGTTGAAGAAAAATAGATTCCTGTTAATCAGGAAGTGAGGTGAGGCTGTTGTCACTTTTTACATCCATACAAATGGTCTATTCAAATATAGGGAATTAGTGAATTGTAAAATGAAGTAAAAATCCATACAAATATAAATATAGACAATTCTCCCTTTTAAACAATTCTTTAATGATTATCTAAACTTAATATTTATTGTTAATCTGGTACAGGTTTAAATTTGTGTAAAAAAATCGTTAATCTACAGATAACTCATAATAGTGCCACACAGTGGTGGTTTGTGGTAAGACACAATGGGGACGTCCCCACCAGAATAGAAAAACCTGACAAATATTAAGCTTTCTAAAATTAAGAATTTATGATAATAAAGTTGATTTTTGGGATTCAAAAATTCCCCCAGACACTTCTGACTTAAAATGATGGCTTTATTGTATTTAGAAATTGCTGTCCCCACGTGTCACCTTCTAGTCATGAGTCCCCACAACGTAGCAAAAACAAGTATGTGTGTGTTTGTGTGAGTGTGTGTGTGTGTGTGTGGCTGTGTGTGTGTGTGTGTGTGTGTGTGTGTGAGAGACACTTACTGAGATTGAGACGGTGTCGAGGACTTCAGTGTAGACACAGACACGCTTTCACTCCTGAGAACAGAGAACAACATCAGATGTGTGTGTGTGTGTGTGTGAGTGAGCATGTGTATGTGTGTGTGTGCGAGCGTGTGTGTGTGTGTGTGTGTGTGTGCGAGTGTGTGCGAGCGTGTGTGTGTGTGTGTGTGTGTCTGTGTGTGTGTGTGTGTGTGTAACAGCAACAGCACGCGTCGTAACTGCCGTCGTAAATGTAGAGAATTTTCTGACATGATTCTACGTACAGCACTCCTTGTTATGTGTCTGATAACATCTATCAAAGTAGCCTTTAAGCAGGCGATACAAAGTGGTAAAATTTACAAACACCGCCGGCAAGTTCTGGACTCTAACGTTACCCCAGAACATCTATCGTCGGCCTGTCATATTCCATCTACAGAGTTCACGGATTATGAACGATTGCTGACAAAAAATGAATGGATACATTTCCAGTATCATGAAAGCTCTCTGCCTTCTCTGTTGACGTTCACGCCGCAAAATCTTCATATTTCCACAACAAGATCAACAGCGCCTCTAACACACGTTCACTGTTCAAGACATTCAATTCTCTCCTCTGTCCACCTCCACCACCACCCACCTCCTCTTTAACTGCTGATGATTTTGCTAACTTCTTCACTAACAAAACTACCACTATCAGCAGTCAGTTCTCAGCACAGGAACCCAGACTAACCTCTCCCACAGCCAATAACCTTCTCTCCTCCTTCACTCCACTAACCGAGGAAGAAGTATCTAAACTTCTCCTCTCCAGTCATCCTACCACCTGCCCTCTAGACCCCATCCCCTCACACCTTCTACAAGCCATCTCTCCCACACTTCTACCAGCTCTCACACACATTATCAACTCATCCCTCCACACTGGCATTTTCCCTACAGCATTTAAGCAGGCTCGGGTAACCCCTCTGCTTAAAAAATCAACATTAAACACATCACTTCTAGAGAACTACAGACCTGTCTCTCTCCTACCATTCATTGCAAAAACACTTGAACGAGTTGCTTTTAACCAAGTATCATCCTTCCTGTCTCTTAACAACCAGCTGGATGTCAACCAATCTGGCTTCAAGAAAGGACATTCAACTGAGACTGCATTGCTGTCAGTCACGGAAGCCCTGCGGATCGCAAAAGCTGCTGCCAAATCATCAGTTCTCATTCTTCTGGATCTGTCTGCTGCCTTCGACACTGTGAATCATCAGATCCTCTTGTCCGCCCTCTCATCACTGGGCATCACTGGAACCTCCCTCAACTGGTTTGAGTCCTATCTCACAGGTAGGTCTTTCAAGGTCACATGGAGAGGTGAGGTATCCAAAGCACATCAACTGACCACAGGCGTTCCTCAGGGTTCAGTTCTCGGACCGCTCCTCTTCTCCATTTACACCACATCACTGGGACCCATCATACAGGCACATGGTTTCTCTTACCATTGCTATGCTGATGACACCCAGCTCTACCTCTCATTTCAACCAGATGATCCCACAGTAGCTGTACGGATCTCAAGCTGTCTGGCGGACATCTCGGCATGGATGAAGGAACATCACCTGCAGCTCAACCTGGCAAAGACTGAGCTTCTCGTCCTCCCTGCCAATCCGTCTCTTCAGCACGACCTCACTATCCAGGTAGATTCATCCTCAATCACCCCATCAAGGTCGGTCAGAAATCTTGGAGTAATCTTTGATGATCAGCTGACCTTCACAGACCACATTACAAAGACAGCTCGATCATGCAGGTTTGCTATGCACAACATCAGGAAGATCAGGCCTTTCCTAACTGAGCATGCAACACAACTTCTCGTCCAGGCCCTGGTCATTTCTAGGCTTGATTACTGCAATGCTCTTCTGGCTGGACTTCCATCATGTGCAACTAAACCTCTACAAATGATCCAGAATGCTGCAGCTCGTCTTGTCTTCAACGAGCCCAAAAGGGCCCACGTCACTCCTCTGTTCATCTCTCTGCACTGGCTACCACTCGCTGCTCGCATCAAGTTCAAGGCTTTGACGCTTGCTTACAGATTGACCACAGGTTCAGCTCCCTCCTACTTCCACTCACTACTACAAGTCTACATCCCTACCAGAAGCCTACGATCGGTCAATGAGCGACGGCTCGTGGTACCATCACAGCGGGGCACAAAATCACTCTCCAGAACATTCTCATTCACGGCTCCATGCTGGTGGAATGATCTCCCCACCCTCATCCGGAATGCAGAATCCCTGACAACATTCAAAAGACAACTGAAAACTCATCTCTTCCGGGACCACTTAACTTAAAAAAAAAAAAAAAAAAAAAAAAATCCTTTCCTCTAAATCCTCGCTTGCCTGGCTTATGCTACTCCGAGCTATGGCTGAACTTTGTATTTTGAGCACTTCTTGCGTTGCTTTTGCCTCTTCACGATGACTCGCTTGGTTTAGTCCTCAGTTGTAAGTCGCTTTGGATAAAAGCGTCTGCTAAATGACTAAATGAATGAATGGAAAAGACGATGTTTCCTGTATCCTTAGAACTCTTAACCCTTAGTAATTCATAACAATGTGCTGATTTGTTTTAATCTGTTGGATTATTCAAAAAATTTGATTCCAAATGAAATTAACTTGTAATGTGGAATCAAATAAAGTATATAAAATGTGTGTGTGTGTGTGTGTGTGTGTGTGTGTGTGTGTGTGTGTGTGTGGAGGATGAATCTCACCGGGTCGAGCTCTTCACGGGACTGGAGACGGAGGAACTCTTCACAGCGCTGAGGAATGAAGAAACACATCAGAACTTCAGATGCTCCTCATCAGTGTTGTGTGTAACCCATTACAAGTAACTAGTGAAGTAATGCATTACTTTTAACATTTACAACTAAATATGAGTTACTTTTTTCAAATACGTAATGCAAGTTACTTTGTTTTCCCATTTTGTTTTGGGTTTTCCCACGTTGTGTATGTGTGTGTGTGTGTGTGTGTGTGTGTGTGTGTGTGTGTGTGTGTGTGTGTGTGTGTGTGTGTGTGCGTGTGTGTTGTTTGATTGTTAAACCATAAGCAAAAATGACTAGATTTTTTTGTTTTTATTGGTAAAGTAATTGTTAATATTTCATCTCCTGCATTCTCTTCTTCTGTTATCCAGCATAGCAGCTCTACTCTACTATACTCAACCACTACTGTACTCTACCACTACTGTACTCTACCACTACTGTACTCTACCTCTACTGTACTCTACCTCTACTGTACTCTACCACTACTGTACTCTACCACTACTGTACTCTACCACTACTGTACTCTACCTCTACTGTACTCTACCTCTACTGTACTCTACCTCTACTGTACTCTACCTCTACTGTACTCTACCACTACTGTACTCTACCACTACTGTACTCTACCTCTACTGTACTCTACCTCTACTGTGCTCTACCTCTACTGTACTCTACCTCTACTGTACTCTACTACTGTACTCTACCTCTACTGTACTCTACCTCTACTGTACTCTACCTCTACTGTACTCTACCACTACTGTACTCTACCTCTACTGTACTCTACCTCTACTGTACTCTACCACTACTGTACTCTACCTCTACTGTACTCTACCACTACTGTACTCTACCACTACTGTACTCTACCACTACTGTACTCTACCACTACTGCACTCTACCTCTAGTGTACTCTACTGTACTCTACCTCTACTGTACTCTACTACTGTACTCTACCACTACTGTACTCTACCTCTACTGTACTCTACCACTACTGTACTCTACTGTACTCTACCACTACTGTACTCTACCACTACTGTACTCTACTGTACTCTACCACTACTGTACTCTACCACTACTGTACTCTACCTCTACTGTACTCTACCACTACTGTACTCTACTGTACTCTACCACTACTGTACTCTACCTCTACTGTACTCTACCTCTACTGTACTCTACCACTACTGTACTCTACCTCTACTGTACTCTACCACTACTGTACTCTACTGTACTCTACCACTACTGTACTCTACCACTACTGTACTCTACCACTACTGTACTCTACCTCTACTGTACTCTACCACTACTGTACTCTACCACTACTGCACTCTACCTCTAGTGTACTCTACCTCTAGTGTACTCTACCTCTAGTGTACTCTACCACTACTGTACTCTACGACTACTGTACTCTACCTCTACTGTACTCTACCACTACTGTACTCTACCTCTACTGTACTCTACCACTACTGTACTCTACCACTACTGTACTCTACCACTACTGCACTCTACCTCTAGTGTACTCTACCACTACTGTACTCTACCACTACTGTACTCTACCTCTACTGTACTCTACCTCTACTGTACTCTACCTCTAGTGTACTCTACCACTACTGTACTCTACCTCTAGTGTACTCTACCACTACTGTACTCTACCTCTACTGTACTCTACCTCTACTGTACTCTACCTCTACTGTACTCTACCACTACTGTACTGCACTCTACTGTACTCTACTGTACTCTACTGCACTCTACTGTACTCTACCTCTACTGTACTCTACTGCACTCTACTGCACTCTACTGTACTCTACCTCTACTGTACTCTACTGCACTCTACTGTGCTCTACTGTACTCTACCTCTACTGTACTCTACTGCACTCTACTGTGCTCTACTGTACTCTACCTCAACTGCACTCTACTGCACTCTACCTCTACTGTACTCTACTGTACGCTACCTATACTCTACTCTACCTCTACTGTACTGCACTCTACTGTACTCTACTGTACTCTACTGCACTCTACTGTACTCTACCTCTACTGTACTCTACTGCACTCTACTGTGCTCTACTGTACTCTACCTCAACTGCACTCTACTGCACTCTACCTCTACTGTACTCTACTTTACTCCACTGTACTCTACCTCTACTGTACTCTACTGTACGCTACCTATACTCTACTCTACCTCTACTGTTCTCTACTGTACTCTACCTCTACTGTACTCTACAACTACTGTACTCTACTGTACTCTACTTCTATAGTACTCTACTGTACTATACTGTACTCTACCTCTACTGCACTCTACTGTACTCTACCTCTACTGTACTCTACTGCACTCTACTGCACTCTACTGTACTCTACCTCTACTGTACTCTACTGCACTCTACTGTGCTCTACTGTACTCTACCTCTACTGTACTCTACTGCACTCTACTGTGCTCTACTGTACTCTACCTCAACTGCACTCTACTGCACTCTACCTCTACTGTACTCTACTGTACGCTACCTATACTCTACTCTACCTCTACTGTACTGCACTCTACTGTACTCTACTGTACTCTACTGCACTCTACTGTACTCTACCTCTACTGTACTCTACTGCACTCTACTGTGCTCTACTGTACTCTACCTCAACTGCACTCTACTGCACTCTACCTCTACTGTACTCTACTTTACTCCACTGTACTCTACCTCTACTGTACTCTACTGTACGCTACCTATACTCTACTCTACCTCTACTGTTCTCTACTGTACTCTACCTCTACTGTACTCTACAACTACTGTACTCTACTGTACTCTACTTCTATTGTACTCTACTGTACTATACTGTACTCTACCTCTACTGTCCTCTACTGTACTATACTGTACTCTACATCTATTGTACTCTACTGTACTCTACTGTACTCTACCTCTACTGTACTCAACTGTACTCTACATCTATTGTACTCTACTGTACTCTACTGTACTCTACCTCTACTGTACTCTACTGTACTCTATTGCACTCTACCTCTACTGTACTCTACCTCTACTGTGCTCCACTGTACTCTACCTCTACTGTACTCTACTGAACTCTACCTCTACTGTACTCTACTATACTCTACTGTACACTCCCTCTACTGTACTCCACTGTACTCTACAGTACTCTGCCTCTACTGTACTCTTCTGTACTCTGCCTCTACTGTACTCTACTATACTCTACTGTACTCTGCCTCTACCGTACTCTACCGCACTCTACTGTACTCTACTGTACTCTACTGTACTCTACTGTACTCTACCTCTACTGCACTCTACTGTACTCTACTGCCCTCTACCTCTACTGTACTCTACTGTACTCTACCTCTACTGTGCTCTACTGTACTCTACCTCTACTGTACTCTACTCTACCTCTACTCTACCTCTACTGTACTCTACTGTACTCTACGGTCCTCTACATCTACTGTACTCTACTGTACTCTACCTCTACTGTACTCAACTGTACTCAACTGTACTCTACATCTACTGTACTCTACCTCTACTGTACTCTACCTCTACTGTACTCTACCACTACTGTACTCTACCTCTACTGTACTCTATACTGTACTCTACCTCTACTGTACTCTACCTCTACTGTACTCTACCACTACTGTACTCTACCTCTACTGTACTCTACCTCTACTGTACTCTGCCACTACTGTACTCTACCTCTACTGTACTCTACCTCTACTGTACTCTACCTCTACTGTACTCTACCACTACTGTACTCTACCACTACTGTACTCTACCACTACTGCACTCTACCTCTAGTGTACTCTACCACTACTGTACTCTACCACTACTCCACTCTACCTCTACTGTACTCTACCTCTACTGTACTCTACCACTACTGTACTCTACCTCTACTGTACTCTACCTCTACTGTACTCTACCACTACTGTGCTCTACCTCTACTGTGCTCTACCACTACTGTACTCTACCACTACTGTACTCTACCACTACTGTACTCTACCTCTACTGTACTCTACCACTACTGTACTCTACCACTACTGTACTCTACCTCTACTGTACTCTACCACTACTGTACTCTACCACTACTGTACTCTACCACTACTGCACTCTACCTCTAGTGTACTCTACCACTACTGTACTCTACCACTACTGTATTCTACCTCTACTGTACTCTACCACTACTGTACTCTACCACTACTGCACTCTACCTCTAGTGTACTCTACCTCTAGTGTACTCTACCACTACTGTACTCTACCACTACTGTACTCTACCTCTAGTGTACTCTACCACTACTGTACTCTACCTCTACTGTACTCTACCACTACTGTACTCTACCACTACTGTACTCTACCACTACTGTACTCTACCTCTAGTGCACTCTACCACTACTGTACTCTACCACTACTGTACTCTACCTCTACTGTACTCTACCTCTACTGTACTCTACCACTACTGTACTCTACCACTACTGTACTCTTCCTCTACTGTACTCTACCACTACTGTACTCTACCTCTACTGTACTCTACCTCTACTGTACTGCACTCTACTGTACTCTACTGTACTCTACTGCACTCTACTGTACTCTACCTCTACTGTACTCTACTGCACTCTACTGTGCTCTACTGTACTCTACCTCAACTGCACTCTACTGTACTCTACCTCTACTGTACTCTACTGTACGCTACCTATACTCTACTCTACCTCTACTGTACTCTACTGTACTCTACCTCTACTGTACTCTACCTCTACTGTACTCTACTGTACTCTACTTCTATTGTACTCTACTGTAATATACTGTACTCTACCTCTACTGTTCTCTACTGTACTATACTGTACTCTACATCTACTGTACTCTACTGTACTCTACCTCTACTGTACTCAACTGTACTCTACATCTATTGTACTCTACTGTACTCTACTGTACTCTACCTCTACTGTACTCTACTGTACTCTATTGCACTCTACCTCTACTGTACTCTACCTCTACTGTGCTCCACTGTACTCTACCTCTACTGTACTCTACTGTACTCTACCTCTACTGTACTCTACTATACTCTACTGTACACTGCCTCTACTGTACTCCACTGTACTCTACTGTACTCTGCCTCTACTGTACTCTACTGTACTCTGCCTCTACTGTACTCTACTATACTCTACTGTACTCTGCCTCTACCGTACTCTACTGTGCTCTACTGTACTCTACTGTACTCTACCTCTACTGCACTCTACTGTACTCTACTGCCCTCTACCTCTACTGTACTCTACTGTACTCTACCTCTACTGTACTCTACTGTACTCTACCTCTACTGTACTCTACTCTTCCTCTACTGTACTCTACTGTACTCTACGGTCCTCTACCTCTACTGTACTCTACTGTACTCTACTGTACTCTACCTCTACTGTACTCAACTGTACTCAACTGTACTCTACATCTACTGTACTCTACCTCTACTGCACTCTACTGTACAATACCCTATTCAGTCTGTTTGTTATCAATAACATACAAATCAACACAATAACATACAAATCAACTCCTAAACGGAACTGCAGAAAACTGAACCATATACTGAACTATACACTAGCAAATCTCGGCTGAAAAACGCTATTCAAATCTATATTTGACTGACGTTTCCCACGCTGGGGTTCATGAGTTGATGAAAAGCTATTTATTTATTAAATTATAAAAATGTAAAATTAAAATAATTGAATAATTGTATAGAACAATCTAAAATAAAACATATAAAAAGATGATTTTTACCTGCATGTCATGTGACCATTAACTGAGATAACATGTGAATGTGTCATCAAATTATTGAAATATGAAATGAAAACTTCAAGAACATGTTTGTGAATCACTGAATTGTACAGATGCCACTTGACTCACCCATTGGTAGATTGAGACACTGTGAGATCTGGAAACTTCTCACCGAACGATGGTTTAACAGGGCTCAATCTGTCACACACAAACATGAACACGTCAACACAACTCGACAGACGTGTCCACAATCCCACACGTGTTCAACGGTCCCAGGTCTGACCCAGATGTTTTAATGTTTCTGAAAGAGCCTTTTCGGCTCAACAAGGCTATGTTTATTGATCAAAAATACAGTAAAAATAGTGAAATATTATTATAATGTAAATTCGCTGTTTTCTATGTGAATATACAGTAAAGTGTAATTTATTCCTGTGATCAAAGCTGTATTTTCAGCATCATTACTCCAGTCTTCAGTGTCACATGATCCTTCAGAAATCACTCTAATATGAGGATCTGATGCTCAAGAAACATTTATGATTATTATCAGTGTTCAAAACAGTTAATATTTTTGTGGAAACTGTGATACATTTTATTTTTTAGGATTCTTTGATGATAGAAAGTTCTGAAGAACAGCATTTATTTGAAATAGAATCTTTTTTAACGTTATAAATGTCTTTTGATCAATTGAATGCGTCCTTGATGAATAAAAGTATTAATTTCTTTTAAAAATATATAATTTAGCCCCAACTTTTAAGTGTATGTTAAGAAGGTTAAGTCATGAAAACGTTATTAATTAATGTTCTCTGAATGTTAAAAAAAAATTGTAGCGAGCAGGACGAGGCCGAGTGCCGTGAGAGCGGCGCGAGGCCGGTGGCGTGAGTGGTAATGAGCGACACCTGTGAGACGCACCGGACTCGCATCTCTCACGGAGGAGCAGAAGCATAAAGGAGGAGCGACAACAGTGCAGATCGAGAGAGGAACAGGCCTGAACTTATGTTGTGTTTTGTTTTTGTGTGCCAGCAGTCGTCCGTGAGGGGCTGCTGGCTTTTACTTTCATTTTTGTATTTGTTTATTTTATTACTAAAGTGTTGAATGTTCGCCGGTTCCCGCCTCCTTCTTCCCATAACAAAGAACCCTGTTACAAAAATGTTAAAAAGGGTGTTTTCTTGGTCATGTGAACGTTAAGGAAACATCTGTATCATTCTTCAAACATTATGGAATTTGAATGTTCTCTGAACGTTCTGAACAAGTAGTAAAATTTAAAAAACATAAGACAAACATCCAACTAAAACGTTTCAGAAAAAAAACGCTCCACCAATGATGTATAGTAAATAATGTTTTTGTGCTAAGGTTTTGAGAACATTATAAAAAACTAGATAATTTAAACAAACGTTCTATTAACGAGTTCGTTTGCCCATAAAATCTTTAAGATATTAGGTTAAACTTATTTGGCTTGCTGTCCGCTGGAGAGGGGCTCGATGAAGCAGCTTCAACTCGAGCTCTGATATACCCCCCAGTGGCTAAATGTAGGACCTGTTAATTAAAGGGCAAGGTACCTAAGATGAAGGTGGAGTTTGGGGAGGTGGAGGGATACTGGAACAGCTGATACTAGGGAGAGGTAAGCGGCTGCTTATATACTCTGTTTGTTGATTGAAAGATTGGATGGGCTCGCTCCTCCCTAATTTACGTTTAGGAACTTCATTTAACGAGTTCGTTTGCCCATAAAATCTTTAAGATATTAGGTTAAACTTATTTGGCTTGCTGTCCGCTGGAGAGGGGCTCGATGAAGCAGCTTCAACTCGAGCTCTGATATACCCCCCAAAAGTGTTGAATAAATATTTGGGACAGCAAGTTAGAATAACGTGATCAAATACGGGATGCCTATAAGCTTAAAGTATGTTACCCCCCAAAAGAGTGGAAATTGAAAGCTGTATGGAGCATGGATGGACACTGCTGCGGCAGTGATATGTTTAAAGGGGCTCCTGGCTGGAACTGCGTCTCCCTACTATGCCCACCATGTGGGGCTATGAGTGGAGCTCCGGCGGGAGCTGTGTTTTAAAGAGTGTGCCTGCGTTCGTTGTGGAGTGAAACGACATGGGCTTGTGGAAATTTGACTGGGGTACATCTCACCGCTGCACTGCTGCGGCAGTGACTTTCAGAAATGACTCCTGCGGGAGTATCTTGGGACTGGAGGTTTGAGTACGAGGTTGGAGAACGCCCTGCCACATCCATGACATGGAGCTCCATGGAGTTAGAGAACATGGGGCTTCCAGATGTCACAAATGGGGAAGAAGGTCCTCGTCCCTAAAGGCGAACGGGCCACCGGTGTCTGAAGCGAAACTCCCTACGCAGCAAGAGGGAGCCTACGGTATACAAAGGAAAAGCAGAACTACCATCCTTCTGACGCAGGGGGCGGAGATCACATAAAGACACAATGGCCCGTCGCGTTCGAGGGACGTACGATCCTTGGTACCTCCAGTCCTGATTTATTCGGATAGGAGGGCCCACACTGCGATCCGAACGGGAGAGCCTCCATGGTTAAAAACATGAAGGATCACACAGCGATTCGGAAAGGGAGAGCCCCCACGGCGCCCGAACGGAAAGCTCACACTGCAATTCGACCGGGAGAGCTCCCGCAGCGTTTCGAAGGAGAGAGCCCCCCCATATGTATAAATAGGGAGTTCACTCGGCGATCAAAACGGGAGAGCCCACACAGCAAGTCGAACGGGAGAGCCTATGATGCTTCTGAACGGAAGAGCCCACACGGCGATTCAGATGGGAGACCCCACTCCAGGAGTGGTAGGTCACGCACATCTGAAAAGGGAGAGCTCTCACTGCATCCAGATGAATACACGCCCTGCGGGGCTAGGTAAGCGGGGAGATGCAAAATAGTAGGGAGAAGCGGTCCAGACTTAGAGGGATGCTAGTGTTTGCTGTGCTTGCCTAATGTTATGCAGATCTGAACGAACGTATGTTTCGAAGGCGAGGGACGACCATCGACCTAGCATTTTGATTTGGTGATCGGAAGAAAGCCAAATTGAACATGGCGTCTGGGGCTCTTGTTTTGTTAGGAGAACAAGACCTGAGCGGAGAGTGGTTAGGCAGACGCTAAGAATGTCGACGGTTAAAGTTAGCTAAAGGAGCGCCGCACAGGGCACATAGAACGGGCGTGAGCTCCGCCACAGAAATTACAGACATGGAGGAAGTGGCATCGTTGTCTGTTGCAACGTGATGAATTAAAGCTGTTGCACACTTGTCTGCCTGGAACTAAGGTAGAAATCTGGTTACGGTCATTCCTTGATTGAGGGACATATCAAGTGGATTTTTCTTGGAAAGGAGCTGGATGGTTCGGAAGATCTGAGTCGGTTTGGGGACATTCTGAAGTAGAATGAATGATAGACCTGCAGATGGCGCAAGAAGGGCTTCGAACGCCTAAGAAGACTCTGTTATATAGTTCGAGGTCCAAGGCTCCCAGTAAGGACACTGGTTCCAGGGTGTGACGCGGGCGGCGCATTTAGGATTTAGCTGGAAAAAGCTTATGGTATGTATAAAAATTACTACCTCCGAAAGAGAGACTGAGCTCTGCTATGGTAGAGAGGTAGTCATTTAATTCCTTGCGTCTGGCTGGAAATGAAGAGCAAATTACTTCTGTGTATCTGGCAAAAGCAACGCAAAATTCTGAAAGTGAGAGAACTCGTTTTGAAGGTTGTACAGAATTTGTAAGATCAACGATTTAAGTCAAACGAGCGGTGGGATTCATTGAGAGGGACGAAAGTCAGTAGAGAAGGAAGATCGATAGTTGCACCTGATAGAATTAGGGAACGGAGATGGGCTGGGACTGGTAGTGGTTCCATGGCGATTGCATTGTTAGGAGCTGGAAGATGGACTGCTGTTGAGAGTGAATGGGCTGGCAAGCGGATTGTACTTTAAGATGCTTCTTCAGGTTGGAGGTGGAGTCTTTGGACCATAGACAGTAAAAGAAATGGACACAGCGACCCCGTTGATTTCAACGGAGAGAGTTGAAGCCCAACATGGGCACTCACTTCCTGATAGCCAAGCGCACGGCGCAGGCTCAAACTGAGCTTGACGACGAGCTGACCTTCTAGTAGCTGTGCCGGGACAAATCTGACCTTCTAGTAGCTGTGCCGGGACAAATCTGAATTGAAATCTGAAACAAATCTGTTGTTGAAATATTTTGTCCCGTTGCTTTTATGAACTCTCTATCTATGGGCTTCTCCCTTGACTTTATGCCTCCATGTCCACCCGATTGCCTCATAGACAGTAAACGATTGCCTACGAGCTTCTCCTTCTGTCTACACGGTAATTTCTCTACTGTACGACAGAGCGTCCCGTGGTTATGACGCAATCGTTAGCCTATTTTTACAAGAATGGCTTCTACGGGGCCATAACGTGTAAGATACAAAGTAATGGAGTCTTTTATACATTGTCGTGTTTCTTTAGAAATAAATAATGGACAAATGGAGTCTTTGGACGCCTCAGATGTAAAGTTATTCGCTGTCAAAGTGACGCCAAAATGAATGGGAGTCAATGGGATGCTAACAGCAGGTGATAGCCAGCTACAATGGCGGCCCCCGGAGGCAGCTTCAACTTCCGGCTGATGGATTACCCCCTTGCTTTGGACGCTGAAAGGAGGTTGGTTGCTGGCAAGCAGAGGTTGCACTGCACAGTTAGGCTATATTTCGTTCTCCCTTCTCTTTCTTTAAAGTGAAATGCTGTTTGAATTTCCGAGATCGAAACGCATTCTTGCCCCGTCTCTGTTGTAGTTCCGGCTACATCTCTATTCTAGCTCCCGCTGCTCCTCTTCCGACTCATTGTGACTGATCACGCAAACCGCGCATTTTTCGTTTTCACATTGGGGCTTCTGGGAAATGCTGAGTTGCCTTAATTTATTTAGAGAGTCACTAAACTCGTGAAACAGAAGTATCGTAATGTAATCCAATGATTTCAACAATGTAACTGTATTCTAAATACCAACTATTTAAATTGTAACTGTAACGGAATATAGATGGGCCTACACATAATTTGTATTCTGAATACGTAACGCCAGTACATATATTCCGTTACTCCCCAACACTGCTGGTGGAAACTGTGGAACATGTGCTGTTTGAGTGTATTAAATACTCAAATCAAAGAATGGATTTAAGGAATGGACTGGAACATGAAGGAATCAAACAAATGAACATTACAAATATCTTCTCAAATAAATCCAGAAAGATGGTGCTTAAAATCATATCATCTTATCTACAACAAACTGGACTAAACCTAAGGATTTAAGCAAAAGTAAATAAGATACAGTAGGTGGCAATAATGCTCCAATTGGTTGCAAGTCGCCAGTAAAAGACGAAGAAGAAGAAGAACACTGCTGGTGTCCAAGATGGCTGGCATGGCCTGAAGTGAGAGGAAGGGGAGGTTTTGTGTGGAAAAGTGTAGAAATCCTTTGCTGAGGCAACCTCACGCTCTGATGTGAACTGGAAAGAATATTAGGAGACAATTGGAAGATAGAAGGGGAAAAAGGGGTGAGGCGAATTGGAATGGAAGGAAAGAGGGAAGATGGCTAGCGAAGGCAACCTCGCGCTAGGATCCGCTCTTTGAGTAGGTTGGTTTGAGGGTGAGAGAAAATGTAACGGTGTGCGAGGGTGACCTGGCACAAGGGTTATTATAAAGAAGTTTAGAGAGAACTGGAGAAGCAGAGGGAAGTCGGAGGAATGTGTTTGTGAGTTTGGTTCTTGCCTGGGGAGTGGGGCTGACTGCATGAAGTTTGTGAGAGCTGGAGAAGAAGCGGAACTGTTTTTTGCGGCCGCTGTTGCTGGCCGGGTGGAAATACCGGCGGACAAGGAAGTGTGAGCTGCAGCTGGATGCTATTGCGCGGCGGCGCCGGCGGGCTTTGGATCGGCGCGTTGGGATTGTGTGGGTTCAGAACGCCAAACCGGGAGAGAAACGGAGGTAGAAGAGGTGCGAGTCTTGCTTTTATAAGATGCTGAAGTGTTTGATGGAATGCTGGAACTGTAAGAACTGATGTAAAGATCGTAGAGTTGAGCTTTTGCTGATCTGCAGGAGAAATGGATTCCGGAGCTGGAGAGGACTTGACGTAGGCTGTTGACTGAACATTTTTAAATGGGTGGAATCGGTGTATTAGCAGCGGAAGAATGGAGAGAAGATGGACGAGGCTCAGTTAAAACTGGCGATCTTGAAGATAGAGGAGAGCGTTGCCTTTTGGAACGTGGTTTATATGAGCGCTGGATTTCTCGATCAGAACGCTCATGAAGATGATCCGTAAGATTCGATCTCACGCGGGGTGTGACTGGCTGTGTCCCAGGAAGGCTTGACAGTTCGTCGTCTGAAGGAAAGAGCTGGATTTCCGTGATGTCGGACATTATTCCTTGCGGCAGTAATGCATACTGGAACAGCTGATACTAGGGAGAGGTAAGCGGCTGCTTATATACTCTGTTTGTTGATTGAAAGATTGGATGGGCTCGCTCCTCCCTAATTTACGTTTAGGAACTTCATTTAACGTTACTTTGAGAGAACCTCATCAGAATGTTCCCTGTTCGCAAGTCTCTGTGGAACAAAAGTGGGCGTTTCTAAATTTGTGGGTGTTTTCAAACTGATGGGTGTTTATAAATCATGTAATGAAAATGATGCCCTTCACCCCTAAACCCCGCCCTCACTGTGACGTGGGCCAATCAGGTGATGTGGTCGAAAATGCCCTCTGTTTATGGCCCTGCCCACTGATCTGGTCACTCCCATTACTGTCCTGCAGACACACTGATACCGGCCACTGGTGAACTTCACTTTACTCACGTTTTGCTGCTGGTGTTTGCGCCAGAGAAGACGCGTGCGGTGAAGCTGGATGTGTTGGGAGTCTTGAGCACCGGATTCCTACAACAGAGTCTCACATTAAACAGATTCACACACGTCTGAAGCTTCTAGCATGTGTGTGTGAAGAGCGTCTGATCTCACTTGGCAGGGACCGGAGGTTTAGGAGCCGGAGCCGGTGGCGGGACGACCGCGGAGATGCTCTTGTTCACCGATGTGGGGCTGAGGGACCACAGAAGAGTCAAGACAAGCCAAGCCAAGTCAAGTCAAGCCAAGTCAAGTTATAGTCAAGTCAAGTCAAGTTATAATCAAGTCAAGTCAAGTTAGAGTCAAGTCCAAGTCAAGTCAAGTTATAGTCAAATCAAGTCAAGTTAGAGTCAAGTCCAAGCCAAGTCAAGTTATAGTCAAATCAAGTCAAGTTAGAGTCAAGTCCAAGTCAAGTCAAGTTATAGTCAAATCAAGTCAAATTAGAGTCAAGTCCAAGTCAAGTCAAGTTAGAGTCAAGTCCAAGTCAAAGTCAAGCCAAGCCAAGTCAAGTCAAGACAAGTCAAGACAAGTCAAGTCAAGTCAAGACAAGTCAAGACAAGACAAGTCAAGTCAAGTCAAGTCAAGTCAAGTCAAGTCAAGTCAAGTCAAGACATGTGTGTGTGTGTGTGTGTGTGTGTGTGTGTGTGTGTGTGTGTGTGTGTGTGTGTGTGTGTGTGTGTGAAGAGCATCTGATCTCACTTGGCAGTGACCGGAGGTTTGGGAGCCGGAGCCGGTGGCGGTGGCGGGACGACCGCAGAGATGCTCTTGTTCACCGATGTGGGGCTGAGGGACCACAGAAGAGTCAAGTCAAGTTATAGTCAAGTCAAGTTATAGTCAAGCCAAGTCAAGTCAAGCCAAGTCAAGTTATAGTCAAGCCAAGTCAAGTTATAATCAAGTCAAGTCAAGTCAAGTTATAGTCAAGTTAAGTCAAGTCAAGTTATAGTCAAGTCAAGTCAAGTCAAGTCAAGTCAAGTTATAGTCAAGTCAAGTTATAGTCAAGTTAAGTTAAGCCAAGTCAAGTTATAGTCAAGTCAAGTCAAGTTATAGTCAAGTAAAGTTATAGTCAAGTCAAGTTAAGCCAAGTCAAGTTATAGTCAAGTCAAGTCAAGTTATAGTCAAGTCAAGTCAAGTCAAGTTATAGTCAAGTCAAGTCAAGTCAAGTCAAGTCAAGTCATGTGTGTGTGTGTGTGTGTGTGTGTGTGTGTGTGAAGAGCATCTGATCTCACTTGGCAGTGACCGGAGGTTTGGGAGCCGGAGCCGGTGGCGGTGGCGGGACGACCGCAGAGATGCTCTTGTTCACCGATGTGGGGCTGAGGGACCACAGAAGAGTCAAGTCAAGTTATAGTCAAGTCAAGTTATAGTCAAGCCAAGTCAAGCCAAGTCAAGTCAAGCCAAGTCAAGTTATAATCAAGTCAAGTCAAGTCAAGTTATAGTCAAGTTAAGTCAAGTCAAGTTATAGTCAAGTCAAGTCAAGTTATAGTCAAGTTAAGTTAAGCCAAGTCAAGTTATAGTCAAGTCAAGTCAAGTTAAGTCAAGTCAAGTTATAGTCAAGTCAATTTAAGCCAAATCAAGTTATAGTCAAGTCAAGTCAAGTTATAGTCAAGTCAAGTCAAGTTATAGTCAAGTCAAGTCAAGTCATGTGTGTGTGTGTGTGTGTGTGTGTGTGTGTGTGAAGAGCATCTGATCTCACTTGGCAGTGACCGGAGGTTTGGGAGCCGGAGCCGGTGGCGGTGGCGGGACGACCGCAGAGATGCTCTTGTTCACTGATGTGGGGCTGAGGGACCACAGAAGAGTCAAGTCAAGTTATAGTCAAGTCAAGTTATAGTCAAGCCAAGTCAAGTCAAGCCAAGTCAAGTTATAGTCAAGCCAAGTCAAGTCAAGTTATAGTCAAGTTAAGTCAAGTCAAGTCAAGTTATAGTCAAGTCAAGTTATAGTCAAGTTAAGTCAAGTCAAGTCAAGTTATAGTCAAGTCAAGTTATAGTCAAGTCAAGTTATAGTCAAGTCAAGTTATAGTCAAGTCAAGTCAAGTTATAGTCAAGTCAAGTTATAGTCAAGTTATAATCAAGTCAAGTCAAGTTATAGTTAAGTCAAGTTATAGTCAAGTCAAGTCAAGTTATAGTCAAGTCAAGTTATAGTCAAGTTATAATCAAGTCAAGTCAAGTCAAGCCAAGTCAAGTTATAGTCAAGCCAAGTCAAGTCAAGCCAAGTCAAGTTATAGTCAAGCCAAGTCAAGTCAAGCCAAGTCAAGTTATAGTCAAGCCAAGTCAAGTCAAGTTATAGTCAAGTTAAGTCAAGTCAAGTCAAGTTATAGTCAAGTCAAGTTATAGTCAAGTTAAGTCAAGTTAAGTCAAGTTATAGTCAAGTCAAGTTATAGTCAAGTCAAGTTATAGTCAAGTCAAGTTATAGTCAAGTCAAGTTATAGTCAAGTCAAGTCAAGTTATAGTCAAGTCAAGTTATAGTCAAGTTATAATCAAGTCAAGTCAAGTTATAGTTAAGTCAAGTGTGTGTGTGTGTGTGTCACCTCTTGCTGAAGGAGCTGAAGGTCGTCCCAGAGTTCACCGGGGTTTTTTCGGCCTCCACTGACTTGCTGAAGTTACAGAGAACATGAATAAGATTTAATATGAATATGAAAGCAGTGGCTGATATGATTATGATTGACAGATTCTCACCTGCTGACATCATCCACTGATTTCTGCTGAGACAGAACGACTTTACCGAAGTTCGGATCATCACTACAAAACAACACGAGATACAGGAATATTGTAGAGGAGCTCATATTATATCATTTCTACATCACACGTGTGTGTGTGTGTGTGTGTGTGTGAGAGTGTGAGTGTGAGTGTGTGTGTGAGTGTGAGTGTGAGTGCGAGCGTGTATGTGTATGTGTGTGTGAGCGTGTATGTATGTGTGTGTGTGTGTGTGTGAGCGTGAGCTTGTATGTGTGTGTGAGTGTGAGCGTGTATATGTGAGTGTGTGCGTGTATGTGTGTGTGTGTGTGTGTGTGTGTGTGAGAGAGAGTGTGTGTATGAGTGTGAGCGTGTATGTGTGTGTGTGTGTGTGTGTGTGTGAGTGTGTGTGAGTGTGTGTGAGCGTGTGTGTGTGTGTGTGTGTGTGAGTGTGAGTGCGAGCGTGTATATGTATGTGTGTGTGTGCGTGTATGTACTGTATGTATGTGCGTGTGTGTGTGTGTGTGTGTGTGTGTGTGAGAGTGTGTATGTGTGAGTGAGTGTGTGTGTGTGTGTTTTTTTTATACTCGATGGGTTCGTCCTCTTCTGCTTTTCGTTTGATCCAGCTGTTGTCTTGTAGGACGGTTCTCCTCCCTTAAACATGTTGACACATCATCATCATCATCATCATCATCACACACACTCACACACACACACACACACACACACACACACACACACACACACACACACACACACACACACACACACACACACACACACACACACACAAGTTCTCGACAGGTTTCAGGAGACTCAAATAAACGAGAAGATCTCACCAGATTTGGTCTGTGTGCTCATGATGTCAGCGCTGTTGAAGTTCTGTGGGATCAAGAGTTCAGGCTCGTTCAGTGTGAAGCTCACCAACAGAACCCTTCGCCTGATTCACGGTTTCACACCTCGGGTTTAGAAAACATTCGTGTTTGCGTGTGAAAGTGAGTGCGCTGCAGGCGTGTTGTTATGCATATGTGGCAGGTGTGTGTGTGTGTGTGTTTTCTGTTTCTCAGGGTGTGAGCTGAAGTTACCCGTCCTGATCAACCAGCAGACGCCCCTTCAGAAACAATTACCACACACACACACACACACACCTGCTGATAACCAGCGTTCCTTACACTCTAACGCGTCTGACGCACGATACACACACACACACACACACATATCTCAGTGATGCTGAATATGACTGTGAGAGGCAAAAGTATGGAAGCCCATTTCTGCCACATAAGAAAAAATATCATGGTTTTGTACATCATAATTAGGACATACTGTGCGAAGTCATAAATCTGACATAAAATTCAAAATTATGACATTAAAACATTGAAATTTACATAAATTATAATTAAATGAATTATGAATTAATTATTACATAAAAGTCAAAATTAAGTCATAATTATTATATAAAAGTTGAAATTATTAGTTAAAAAAGGCAGAATTATTACATTAAAACGTTGTAATTGACATAAACAGTTGTAACTCTGACTTACAAAGTCAAAATTATGGCATAAAATGTTGAAATTATAACCAAAACTTGAAATTATGATGAACTAAGTCTTAATTATGAGACAAGAAGTCTAAATTATGACTTAAAAAGTTGATTGACTATAAAAAAAAGTATGACATAAAAGTCAAAATTATGACACACTAAGTTATAATTATGTCATAAAATCCCAATCAAGTCATAATTATGATTTACCTAAGCATGATTTTGTTTCTTATGTGGCAGAAATGAGCTTCAATAAAAAGATATGATAGATATGAAATATGGACATCAAGCATCATTTAATACTTTCACAAACAAATGTTTTCAGAAGTTTAAAGTCATTAATGCTGCAGTGTAAGTTTGACAGACCTGTGTGTGACGGACGGCCGCTGGCGTGCGAGTGTGTGTGTGTGTGTGTGTGTGTGTTAATCTGCTGTCACACCCTGCTCTGCTGTCAGCCAATGAGGACTTTGATCACACGACCTCTGACCTCAGTAAACCTGTACAGTGAGTTTCAGCTGCCGCTTCAGCACACAAACACAAACACACACACTTTACTCACACTGAGATAGATTACACACACACACACACACACACACACACACACACACTCTTTCCTCCTCCGTCAGGTTATTCACCTGTTCTTCTCTTCACCGCGAGTCCAGGCCTGTCACTGACGGGTGTGGATCTGATGAACGCGTCGCGCATTCCCTGTTTTACCAGATGAGTTTCACTCTCAACATCTGGAGGAATGAGCCGGAACCTCTCCTCTGCTTTACACCACGAGATGTATGATTATCAGAATCAAAAACTCTCAATATCAGCCACTGAATATTGTGTGTCTCAGTCGCTGCTTATAAAGCTAGAGATGGAAAGAGAAAAAACTGAGAACTGTAACATTTCAGTGTTATTTTAATAGAATTGGGAGACTGATACAGTTTTTTATTAATAGTTTGAGTTAGTTAATTTAGTTGTGTGTTTTTGTCTTTTTATTATTTTTGTATGTCGTTTTTTTTTATAAATAATTTTTTATTTCAGTTTAAATTTTTATTATTTAAGTTAAGTCAATAAAAATGAGAAATGTTGCCTTGGCTACTAACTGAAATATACAAAAGTTATTTTTATATATAACCTATTTTAGTTTATTTCAGTTATTTTAATTCAAGTAATGGAAATGTTTTGATTGGTTTATGGTTTTAGTTTTAAATAACCCTGATTCCAACACTCCTAGCATTGGGAAAAAAGACATTTAAAAACATTTTCCTATTATAACCTATTCTTTAAAACAAGATTGATTTATGCTTTAAACATCTAAACATTTAAACATTTAAAAATCGAAACATGTCAACATTTAAACATCTAAACATTTCAACATGTTTTGTGTGATTCGCATACTCCTGCCACAGACAGTAAGAGTTAAGGTTAAGGTTAGGGTTAGGGTTTAGTCTCAGTACTCGATGTGCAGTGTGTGTGTGTGTGTGTGTGTGTGTGTGAGTGAGTGTGTGAGAGCGCCGCCCTCTGCCGGCAGCGTCTGGAACTATACTCAGTCGACTCTACCCAGAATGCACCGCTCGCGTCTAAGCACAACACTTCGCCATTTTCCGCGAACAGGCGCTTCTCTGTGGAGAAACTGGGTCACAAGATACAGAGAGAAACCCTCGAAGCGTCTTCACCAGAGCCGCCGATCCCCGCGCGTCGATCTCCGCCTTCATCGCGTCGAGCGAGGCCAATGCTGGTGTTCGGTCGGGCCGCTCGGGGGAAGTACTGGAGCTCGGGCCCGGGCTGAGGAGAACCGATCACCGAACCCCGATCACCGAGACCAGCAGCACTGCGACACACAGGTAAGTTACATCAACAAACTTAATATAATATCTGTCTCTCTGTAGGGTTGGGCATTGACTTACATTTCACTATTCGGTTCGATATTGATTCATTTGGATATATATCAGGTACAGTAACTTGTCAACTAAAACTGTAAACAGGAATATGGCTGTAAAAACTTTTTTCATGACGGATTTTCTCAATCATACATGAAATATTGAAGAACAGATTGTGTATAAATAATGAATATGTGTATGTATGTGGAAGCGCTCCTCTAGAGTGATGTCTCTGTTGAGTGTGTTCTCTGAGGGGAATGAGAGTTATAGTTCTCCGCTGTTTGACTGACGGCTGAAACACTGATTGATGGATTATGAGACATGATTGATTTCAGGAAGTTGTTCTGAATCTTTCAACTTTCCTTCTGATGTTCATTGATGTTTATTTGCTGCTGTAACTAGTAGTGAAGAGGAGGAGATGATCGCTTCATCTGTCACACACACACACACACACACACACACACACACACACTCTCACACACACACATTTACTGGCTGAATTTACTGATGGAACTGACAGGATTTTAAAGCTGAGACTTTGTTTCGCATCAGAAGTATCCCGGATGATTGTGATTATGGGATGGAGGAGCGACAGAGAGTGTGTAGTGGAGGTGTATTGAGGGAGATTGATAGATGTCAGACTGAAGCTGATCGAATAATGACAGAATGTTGATGTTGGTGTTTGTTCAGATGCAGATTTATCCTTGATTAATATTGATATTCATTCTGTACAGTGTTTTTCTCACGCATATCTGGAGCTTGATTCGCGGAGTCATGTTGGGCGTGTTCACACACATATTTAACTTCTGTATAGTTAATTCATACATGAATGTGTTTGGCAAATGCTTGTTAATCCATGTGTGGTTTAGATGAACTCAGAAGATCACAGCGGATCTAGTTAATCACAGGTCATTAAAGAGTAAATGTTGCCTGTTTAACTGAATACTGTGTCTTCTGTACCGGATAAGCTGACCGAAACACACCGCATCAGTGACGTCATCGTCATGTTTCGCGCCTCCTCACACACCAACAATTCGAATGCACGTTTTTTTTTTTTTTTTTTTTGATGAATATTAGAAATTTGACAGCCCTAATGTGAAGAACTCATATTCCACTCGTTCCTAAGCGCTGTTGGTCTGTCTCCTCAGAATGAAGCGCGGGCAGAAGCGAGTGGATGAGGCGGAGGAGAGCAGTGTGTCGGGCCCCGGGGCCCCGGAGCTGTGCAAGCGGGTCCGCTGGGCTGGTTCTGAGGACGACGGCTCGGTGGACTGGCGACTGCTCCCCGAGGAGATCCTGCTGATCGTCTTCCAGTACCTGCCTCTGCTGGACCGGGCCTGGGCCGCACAGGTGTGTCGCGCCTGGAACAACACCTTCCACACGCCGCAGCTCTGGAGGTGCTTCGAGTTCCAGCTCAACCAGCCGGCCAGCTCCTGCCTGAGGGCCACACACCCCGACCTCATCAAGCAGATCATCACGCGCCACTCCAACCACCTGCAGTACGTCAGCTTCAAGGTGAGTGTGTGTGTGTGAGTGAGTGTGTGAGTGAGTGTGTGAGTGTGTGAGTGAGTGTGTGAGTGAGTGAGTGAGTGTGTGAGTGAGTGTGTGAGTGAGTGTGTGAGTGTGTGAGTGAGTGTGTGAGTGTGTGAGTGAGTGTGTGAGTGAGTGAGTGAGTGAGTGAGTGTGTGAGTGAGTGAGTGAGTGTGTGAGTGAGTGAGTGAGTGAGTGTGTGAGTGTGTGAGTGAGTGAGTGAGTGAGTGAGTGAGTGAGTGTGTGAGTGAGTGAGTGAGTGAGTGAGTGAGTGAGTGAGTGAGTGTGTGTGAGTACACACCCCGACCTCATCAAGCAGATCATCACGCGCCACTCCAACCACCTGCAGTACGTCAGCTTCAAGGTGAGTGTGTGTGTGTGAGTGAGTGTGTGAGTGAGTGTGTGAGTGAGTGTGTGAGTGAGTGTGTGAGTGAGTGTGTGAGTGAGTGTGTGAGTGAGTGTGTGAGTGAGTGTGTGAGTGAGTGAGTGTGTGAGTGAGTGTGTGAGTGTGTGAGTGAGTGTGTGAGTGTGTGAGTGTGTGAGTGTGTGAGTGTGTGAGTGTGTGAGTGAGTGTGTGAGTGAGTGAGTGTGTGAGTGTGTGAGTGAGTGAGTGTGTGAGTGTGTGAGTGAGTGAGTGAGTGTGTGTGTGAGTGTGTGAGTGAGTGTGTGTGAGTACACACCCCGACCTCATCAAGCAGATCATCACGCGCCACTCCAACCACCTGTAGTACGTCAGCTTCAAGGTGTGAGAGTGAGTGAGTGTGTGAGTGAGTGAGTGTGTGAGTGAGTGAGTGAGTGAGTGAGTGTGTGAGTGTGTGAGTGTGTGAGTGAGTGTGTGAGTGAGTGTGTGAGTGAGTGAGTGAGTGTGTGTGAGTACACACCCCGACCTCATCAAGCAGATCATCACGCGCCACTCCAACCACCTGTAGTACGTCAGCTTCAAGGTGTGAGAGTGTGTGAGTGAGTGAGTGAGTGAGTGAGTGTGTGAGTGAGTGAGTGTGTGAGTGAGTGAGTGAGTGTGTGAGTGTGTGAGTGAGTGAGTGAGTGTGTGAGTGAGTGTGTGAGTGAGTGAGTGAGTGTGTGAGTGAGTGAGTGTGTGAGTGAGTGAGTGTGTGAGTGAGTGAGTGTGTGAGTGAGTGAGTGAGTGAGTGAGTGTGTGAGTGAGTGAGTGAGTGAGTGAGTGTGTGAGTGAGTGAGTGAGTGAGTGAGTGAGTGTGTGAGTGAGTGAGTGAGTGAGTGAGTGAGTGAGTGAGTGTGTGAGTGAGTGAGTGTGTGAGTGTGTGAGTGAGTGAGTGAGTGAGTGAGTGAGTGAGTGAGTGTGTGAGTGAGTGAGTGAGTGAGTGAGTGAGTGAGTGAGTGAGTGTGTGAGTGAGTGTGTGAGTGAGTGAGTGTGTGAGTGAGTGAGTGTGTGAGTGAGTGTGTGAGTGAGTGAGTGTGTGAGTGAGTGAGTGAGTGTGTGAGTGAGTGAGTGAGTGTGTGAGTGAGTGAGTGAGTGAGTGTGTGAGTGAGTGTGTGAGTGTGTGAGTGAGTGTGTGAGTGAGTGAGTGAGTGTGTGTGAGTACACACCCCGACCTCATCAAGCAGATCATCACGCGCCACTCCAACCACCTGTAGTACGTCAGCTTCAAGGTGTGAGAGTGAGTGAGTGAGTGTGTGAGTGAGTGAGTGAGTGAGTGAGTGAGTGTGTGAGTGAGTGTGTGAGTGAGTGAGTGTGTGAGTGAGTGTGTGAGTGAGTGTGTGAGTGAGTGTGTGAGTGTGTGAGAGTGAGTGAGTGAGTGAGTGAGTGTGCGAGTGAGTGAGTGAGTGAGTGAGTGAGTGAGTGAGTGAGTGAGTGAGTGTGTGAGTGAGTGTGAGTGAGTGAGTGAGTGAGTGAGTGAGTGAGTGAGTGAGTGAGTGAGTGAGTGAGTGAGTGAGTGAGTGAGTGTGTGAGTGTGTGAGTGTGTGAGGGAGTGAGTGTCTCTCACTGCAGCTGGAGATGATGTCATTGCTGATGTGTGTGTGTGTGTGTTCAGGTGGACAGCAGCACTGAATCTGCAGAAGCCGCGTGTGATATCCTCTCTCAGCTCGTCAACTGCTCTCTGAAGACCCTCGGCCTCATTTCCACCGCAAGACCCTCCTTCATGGAGCTGCCCAAAGTCAGTCTCACACACACACACACACACACACACACACTCTCACACACTCATTCGCACACATACACGCACGCACACACACCCATTCGCCCTCACACACACTCACACACACATTCTGTTTTCCATCTCTCAGGTTCAGCCTCACTATATTCCGCTCTTGTGTGTGTGTGTGTGTGTTCTCTCCTCAGTCTCACTTCATCTCCGCGCTGACGGTGGTGTTCGTGAACTCTAAGTCTCTGGCGTCTCTGAAGATCGACGACACTCCGGTGGACGATCCGTCGCTCAAAGTGCTGGTGGCGAACAGCAGCGACACACTGAAGCTGCTGAAGATGAGCAGCTGTCCACACGTGTCCCCCGCAGGCGAGCGCCACACACACACACACACACACACACACACACACACTGAAGCTGCCGCAGGCGAGCGCCACACACACTCTCATCAGGGCTGGGGAACCGGGCATTTCAACCATTACGATTCTTATCGATTACAATAAGTAACAAAAAACTTGGATATCATTCACATTTAGTCATATTGCAAAACATTTAATTGTAGATTAATATCACGAACAAATCATCAGCTAAATAACACTTACAGGAGCGTTTGCCTGTGGTTTAAAAACACTAGAGAAACAACTAGCCGAACTAATGTAAATATCAAGCATTATTAAAGACAAGTAAACACTCAGTAATAAAAAATTTAATTAAATTAGCAATCGCAACAAATAGACACAACTGAACAAAGATATGATTGAAATAAACAGTGTTTTAAGATTTTCAGGTGTTCGGGGCAGAAACTAATCGAATGTAAAATGTAAAATAACACTGCACTTTATTAATAAAATATACATTACAAATATAGTTACAGAAGTTTTTCAGTGAAGAACGAGTGTGTGTTCTCCGTCTTCTGTTGTGCGATTAGTGTTATTATAGAGACGGCAGGAATATGAGCGCTGTCACTTTAAGAGCTGCGGGTCCAGTACACTGACACACACGAGGACAGAACACACAGTCTCTCGCTCGAACGCTTTAAAGTCATTAAAATGCTCACAAAGGAATCGATTAGAGGAATTGAAATTAGAATTTTATAACAAGTATTCGATTCCCGACCCTATCAAACAGCAACACTACACACTGAAGACAGACAACACTGGTGCTCTTTAAACATGTGAGCTAACGGAGTGTGTTGTCTCTGCAGGAATCCTGTGTGTGGCGGATCAGTGTCACGGTCTGCGCGAGCTAGCGCTAAACTACCACCTGTTGAGCGACGAGCTCCTGCTAGCGCTGTCGTCGGAGCGCCACGTTCACCTGGAGCACCTGCGCATCGACGTGGTGAGCGAGACCCCGGGCCAGAGCTTCCACTCCATCAAGAAGAGCAGCTGGGACGCCATGCTGCGCCACTCGCCCCAGTTCAACCTCGTCATGTACTACTTCCTGTACGAGAACGAGTTCGGGCCGTTCTTCCGCGACGAGGTGCCGGTGACGCACCTGTACTTCGGGCGTTCGGTCAGTAAGGAGGTCCTGGGCCGCGTGGGGCTGACGTGCCCGCGGCTGGTGGAGCTGGTGGTGTGTGCTAACGGCCTGCGCCCGCTCGACGAGGAGCTGATCCGCATCGCTGAGCGCTGCAAACACCTGGCGGCCATCGGCCTGGGCGAGTGCGAGGTCTCCTGCAGCGCCTTCGTGGAGTTCGTGAAGATGTGTGGCAAGCGGCTCTCGCAGCTCTCCATCATGGAGGAGGTTCTGATGCCCGACCACCAGTACGGGCTGGACGACATCCACTGGGAAGTGTCCAAACACCTGGGGCGCGTCTGGTTCACCGACATGATGCCCACCTGGTAGCCGGAGACACACGTCAGCCGGGTGCTCACTAGGCCTGCACGGCTTACATGTAACCGCACTTAAACCGATTTGAGTTATCGTGATTTATAAATTTGAAACTGATAATGTGCAGCGTGTCAGTGAAGCACGGCTCAGTAATCGCGGCTCACTCTGAAAGCCCCGAGTTTGAGTCGCTTATAACGAGCATTTGAAAAAGCAACACGCGTCAAACATCTTTCCAGACATGAGACGCATTTATGAACTTCTTGTCCAACAAAAGACGACATTTAATAACACGCTTTACTCCAAACTCACTTCATCAGGACAGCTGAGCTCGTCCTCCTGTGAGATGGTGCGCTTCTCACACAGAATACGGCAGTCGTGTGTTTATTACTCATGTTTCATCAATCACAGCGTTTCGTTGTGTGTGTGTGTGTGAGACGCCCTCTGGTGTGCAGAGGGATGTGTGTGTGTGTGTGTGTGTGTGTGTGTGACGCCCTCTGGTGTGCAGAGGGATGTGTGTGTGTGTGTGTGTGTGTGTGTGAGACGCCCTCTGGTGTGCAGAGGGATGTGTGTGTGTGTGTGTGTGTGTGAGACTCCGGTGTTCAGAGGGTTATGTGGTGTGTGTGTTTGTGTGTGTGAGACTCAGGTGTTCAGAGGGAAATGTGGTGTGTGTGTGTGTTTGTGTGTGTGTGTGTGAGACTCAGGTGTTCAGAGGGATATGTGGTGTGTTTGTCTGTGTGTGTGTGTGTGTGTGTGTGTGTGTGTGTGTGTGTGAGACTCAGGTGTTCAGAGGGATATGTGGTGTGTGTGTGTGTGTGTGTGTGTGAGAGACTCTGGTGTTCAGATGGATATGTGGTGTGTGTGTGTGTGAGACTGGTGTTCAGATGGATATGTGGTGTGTGTGTGTGAGACTCAGGTGTTCAGATGGATATGTGGTGTGTGTGTGTGTGTGTGAGACTGGTGTTCAGATGGATATGTGGTGTGTGTGTGTGTGAGACTGGTGTTCAGATGGATATGTGGTGTGTGTGTGTGTGAGACTGGTGTTCAGATGGATATGTGGTGTGTGTGTGTGTGAGACTCAGGTGTTCAGATGGATATGTGGTGTGTGTGTGTGTGTGTGAGAGACTCTGGTGTTCAGATGGATATGTGGTGTGTGTGTGTGTGTGTGTGTGTGAGACTGGTGTTCAGATGGATATGTGGCGTGTGTGTGTGTGTGAGACTGGTGTTCAGATGGATATGTGGTGTGTGTGTGTGTGAGAGACTGGTGTTCAGATGGATATGTGGTGTGTGTGTGTGTGTGTGTGTGTGAGACTGGTGTTCAGATGGATATGTGGCGTGTGTGTGTGTGTGTGTGAGACTGGTGTTCAGATGGATATGTGGCGTGTGTGTGTGTGTGAGAGACTGGTGTTCAGATGGATATGTGGCGTGTGTGTGTGTGTGAGAGACTGGTGTTCAGATGGATATGTGGTGTGTGTGTGTGTGTGTGAGACGCCCTCTGGTGTTCAGATGGAGCATTTACTCCCGATCAGCCGTACTTCACTGACAAGCTGCACATAAAATAATCGCAGCCTTTTTGTCCACGATTTGGCCGTCTGAAACACATTCTGCAAATCCTAAAACATTCTCTGATCCTCGGGTTAATCTGCAGTCCTCGGTCGTTAGTTTGTCGTGTTCACGATAGCCGATTAATGACGTTGCGATCACATGACCTCGGAGGAGCTTCTGTGGGTGTGGGAGACCTGACTCAGTCCTGCAGGGATTCTCCTGCGACTCCGCCAGACGATCTCCGTTCTTCAAGACGAGCCGCGACCAAAACTAGCGTTAGAGATTTCTGTGTAGCGACTGTTTCAATCCCGCGTGTGACGAGCTCACGCCCGAGCGCTCCCTGATGGAGGACGCACAACTCCGTTCTAACGCTCTTGACTGCCGTACAGTCGGACATTAAAGACAGCTGAGAGATTGAACTCACTGAACATGCTTGTGTGTAGTGTACGTGTCGTCAGCTTGTGGAGGATGAAGGCGGGAGAAGCTTCAGCTCGTCGGGTCTGATCATGTGTGTGTGTGTGTGTGTGTCTCCTCTCTCATGTTGGACATCAGAAAACACTGCGAACCGTTAATCTGAATCCAGTGCTCGTTACTCCAAGGGTTGATCAGTCCAGTTGACATTTCCTGATGATGATGATGATGATGATGATGATGATGTCGTCGTGAGCTCTTGTGTTTTGTAGTTTTTATCGCAGTCGCTGGAGGAAATCAGTGTGAATGTGTGATTGGAGGACCAGTACGAGAATCCGACGACTGCAGAGAAAGGCGTGATTGGCTCTGGTTTGAGTCATGTGACCGCGTCGCTCGTGTCTGAGTCATGTGACCGCGTCGCTCGTGTCTGAGTCATGTGACCGCGTCGCTCGTGTCTGAGTCATGTGACCGCGTCGCTCGTGTCTGAGTCATGTGACCGCGTCGCTCGTGTCTGAGTCATGTGACCGCGTCGCTCGTGTCTGAGTCATGTGACCGCGTCGCTCGTGTCTGAGTCATGTGACCGCGTCGCTCGTGTCTGGCGATGATGGAAGCGCTTCATTAGTTCTCAAGCAATACTTTACAGAGACTCAGATTCAGATCATTTGCACTTTATATTGAAATGTATTTTAGAAATGTACATATGAGATTATCGGTTGTCAATATTTCTCCTGATGATAATGACGATTATTATATTATTTTCTTTGCATTAAATGAATAGGGATAAAAGCTTGTGGCTTTTAATTACTTTATCGTTTTTATGAATATAAATGTATAGAAGTTTATCTATAAAAGAGAAACCAATGTGGTGTAAATGTTTTTGTTGTTGTTTTTGAATAAATGTGTGAATGTAAGAAGGCTTCAGTGTGTGTTTCACATCAGTGGAAGATGTGTCTCTTCAATTATAGGTTAGACACACTGAACTGCTTTTTAAATCGTTAATTCTATTAAAAATGAAACTGATTTTATTGTGTTTGTTTAGATGAAAGTCTGAAAAAGTATTTTGAAATAAAATAATGGCATTTTCAGGTTTCAAAAAAGGCATTAGAGTTCAATAAAAGCTCATTCAGTACTCGACTGTGATTGGTTCATTCAATGCAGAGCCAATGATGTCCAGCTCCGCCTCTCTGGACTGAATGGGTGGAGTTATGTAGGGTAATGCTGTGGTTGGTCTGTCTAGCCCCACCCATTTCAAGGGGGAGCTGGACATCAAGCTCCGCCCATCGGCTCTGCAGGACGTCACGTGACACAACAGGTCCTGCTCCACACGCATATGTAAACCGTTTCCTGACTGTATAAGTGCATTAACTTTCTTCTAATTAATTAGCCACATAAACATAAAAGACGAATCAAATTCTGAAATAGTGATTAGATGGAAAAAATAAATGTTAATGTCATTCAGCGCTGGACCGTCCCAGTTACTAGAAAACTCGCACACTCAGATATGATGACATCACAAATGTGGATTTACAGCTCATGTTCAGATAGCTTTCTTTAGCGTTATAACCTTTATAAGTCACGTACATGGATCATCTCTATCTGGTGATTTCAGGAAGAGAGATCATTGATTTAACACACTTTATCCACATTGCATTCAGGGTTTTTATGGGGTCATTCACTGGGAATCGAACCCTGACTGTAGTGTTGCGAACACTGTGATCTACCCTGTGAAACACTATTATTATCACATTACACTTGTCATTGTACATTTATCATGGTTTTATGTCTGCGTTTCAATGTAGTTTTTAACTCCTATTTTCAGATATCATCAGATTTAATGCTTTTTTTTATATATAAATGATGTTAGTAAGTATTTTCATTAGACTTAGGTCTAGTAATGCATTACAAGTAATGTAGCCAGATTACTTTTCAAGTAACTATAAGGTAAGGCATTACTTTTAAATTTACAACAAAATATCTGAGTTACTTTTTCAAAAAGTTTTACAGTAAAGTATGTGTGTGTGATGTCATGTGTGTGTGTGTGTGATGTCATGTGTCTGTGATGTCATGAGTCTGTGTGATGTCATGTGTCTGTGTGTGTGTGATGTCATGGTCTGTGATGTCATGTGTGTGTGTGATGTCATGTGTATGTGTGATGTCATGTATCTGTGATGTCATGAGTCTGTGTGTGTGTGATGCCATGTGTGTGTGATGTCCTGTGTGTGTGTGTTATGTCATGTGTCTGTGTGATGTCATGTGTCTGTGATGTCATGTGTGTGTGTGATGTCATGTGTCTGTGTCTCTTCAACTCAGAGGATGAAGAGCAGAAGTTTTGATTTCATGAGGGATTTAAAATTCAGCCACTGATGTATGAAACCCGTTACTGCCACACAAGACAAAAATAGGGAAAATCTTGATTATGACATGAAATGTCAAAATTAATAGATTAAAAGGTAAATTAAGTCAAAATTTTGACTTTTATGTAATAATTGACATAAAAAGTCAAAATAATGAGATAAAGTCGAAATTATGACATGCTAAATCATAATTATGACTGAATGAAAAATGAAATTAACAAAAAAATCGAAAATTATCGAAATTTCCATGTCAAATGTTCAGCTTTTATGTCACAATCTAGACTTTTTATGTCATAATTACGATTTACAAAAGCAGGATTATTTTCTTATGTGGCAGAAATAGTCTTCCATAAGGTGTTACGAGAGTCATGTGCAAGAAATATTATTAATATGAACATGTACTGTACAGTTGAAGAGTATTATAAGCACTAAAAGACAAAAAAACAACCATTTTTTTGTCTGGGATCAGTGCAGAAGCAAGCGCTCCTTCGAAAGTGTTTTTATTTAGATAAATAGGTCGATAGGCTATTAGCTGCTCGAATGTGCAAACCGTATCAGTTTATATTAAATCTGTATTTTTTTGAGAATATTTCTGCGCTTGATATGATCATCATGTGGCTCAGTCAGTGACGTCATCTTTGATAAATATCAGGATCACAAACAAAATATTGTTCAGCCTGCGACCCCTACTATTTATTACCAGAGATATTATTCTGCAGCATTTATTCCGTAATAAAAAATGCACGGATCCTCAGGAAAATCGCAGAAACTCTGACGTCATCGGATGGTCAACCAGCACGCGGAGCGACGCGGATCCTCCATTGGCCGATTGACCAGAGAACGGCTTTTCTGTGGTCAGATTAGGAAACTCAGCGCTGTGGACGCGAAGGCGCGCCCTTCTCCGGCCATCTTGGCTCAAACAGCCCGATGAGCGTCAGCGGAAACATCCGGGTTATCCAGCGCACTCCGGCGGCCATTGTGGCTCTTCATCCCGCAGCTTCATAACCTTGAGAGGGCGGAGCGTTACGCGCTGAACGGGAGTAGCAGCGGAGCGGGAGGAGAGACACCGAGCTGCAGAAAACCGTTACACGGGCAGCGCTGCTTTACCTCACGCGCACCGAGCCGCTTTAACGGAGGACCAGGGCGTGTACCGGTGCGTCTAACGGACAATCATGAGCGCCGTTGGACGGGAACCGAAGCGGCACCGGCTTTGAGCGCGTTTTCATCGTTGGAATCGCTCGAGCCGTTTTTTTTTGTCTTCTTTTTTTTTTTTTTGCGGCCGTTCACGTCACGCTGACATTTATTATTTGAAGCGGCAGATTCCCGGAGCGTTGCGACCTGAATCCCGGAGCGTTGATTTTCCCTGACATCATCATCATCATCACCACCACCACCATCATCATCGTCGTTCGTCGTTCGGTGTGAACGGGCAGATTCGGTGGGTCAGTCGTCGACGGGAATCCGCGGGATTTACGACAGGATTCCGCGGGTGAAAATCATCCGCCGCTCGGATTCTGACGTTCGCGGCGCGTTTCTGTGGGAAATCGGATCTTTTCCCGAGGATCTGTCGTCGGGACTATGGCTGACGACGACGTGCTGTTCGAGGATGTGTACGAGCTGTGTGAGGTGATCGGGAAGTGAGTAATCGAATCTAATCAATCAATCAATCATCTGATGCTGATCGGCTCCGGTGTGAGGCGTTTTCCTCCGGATCTCTTTGTCTCGTGTGTTGTTGACATTTTATGGCTCTTAGGTTCAGCTGACCGAGTGTGTGTGTGTGAGAGAGAGATAGAGAGAGAGGGAGATAGTGATTTGACACTAATATTCATTGATCATTAACTCTTCATTCATACTCTCAGTTATTATATGACTTTCATGTCGATGCTTGTCTTGTAAAGGTGAAATGTCATTTTTGTCTTTCCCATTGTGCAGGATTATTCTAATACTGACATATCTTCATTGAATATTAGTCTGTAGTATAAATCTGGCTGTGCCTGTAAGATGATGTGAGTGTGTGTGTGAGAGAGTGTGTGTTTATGTGAGTGAGTGTGTGTGTGTGATTGCACTGCTGATTATTGGTTGAGATATTAAAGTTGGTTTGTAGATTTCAGGTTATTTCATTCAAACTTGTTGAATGAACCGCTGCATCATCTGATCATCTTCTGAGACTCCTGTGTGTGTGTGTGTGTGGATCTTAAAAATAAAGGATTTCCTCAGTGAAGCCATAGAAGAACCTTCTTAAGCTCCTCAAAGAACTTTTCACAGACACACACACACACACACACACACACACACACACACACACACACACACACACACACACACACACACACACACAGACACACACTCTCTCTCACACACACACACATAGACAGACAGGCACAGACATTCACGCAAACACACACAGACGCACACACACACAGACGCACACACACACACACACACACAGACAGACACACACACACACAGACAGACAGACAGACAGACAGATAGACACTCTCTCACACACACACACACACAGACAGGCAGACAGACACTCTCACAGACACACACACACACACACACAGACACACACACACACACATTAAGATGCGTTTTGGTGGATTGGATCACAAGTAGATGAGGAGACACACACACACACACGTTTACTCCAGTTCCTCCCTCTCCTGTGCTGAAGTCTTCAGGGTCTGTGGGGGAATACGGGCTTTTCAGATCTTTAGATGTAATGGATGAAATAAACTCACGCAATTTACATGTGAACGCGACCGGAGACACGGAGAACACACGGAGAACATCAGCTTTAGTTTCTGATCTGACAGATGTAAGACTAGCCGAACGCTGTGAGAGTGTGTGTGAGAGATCAGGAACACTGAGAGTGTGTGTGTGAGAGATCAGGAACGCTGAGAGTGTGTGTGAGAGATCAGGAACGCTGAGAGTGTGTGTGTGAGAGATCAGGAACGCTGAGAGTGTGTGTGTGAGAGATCAGGAACGCTGAGAGTGTGTGTGTGAGATCAGGAACGCTGAGAGTGTGTGTGAGAGATCAGGAACGCTGTGAGTGTGTGTGTGTGAGATCAGGAACGCTGAGAGTGTGTGTGAGAGATCAGGAACGCTGAGAGTGTGTGTGAGAGATCAGGAACGCTGAGAGTGTGTGTGTGAGATCAGGAACGCTGAGAGTGTGTGTGTGTGTGTGAGATCAAGAACGCTGAGAGTGTGTGTGTGTGTGTGAGATCAGGAACGCTGAGAGTGTGTGTGTGTGTGTGAGATCAGGAACGCTGAGAGAGTGTGTGAGAGATCAGGAACGCTGAGAGTGTGTGTGTGTGTGTGAGATCAAGAACGCTGAGAGTGTGTGTGTGTGTGTGAGATCAGGAACGCTGAGAGTGTGTGTGTGTGTGTGAGATCAGGAACGCTGAGAGTGTGTGTGTGTGTGTGAGATCAGGAACGCTGAGAGTGTGTGTGTGTGTGTGTGTGTGTGAGATCAGGAACGCTGAGAGAGTGTGAGATCAGGAACACTGAGAGTGTGTGTGTGTGAGATCAGGAACGCTGAGAGTGTGTGTGTGTGAGATCAGGAACGCTGAGAGTGTGTGTGAGATCAGGAACGCTGAGAGAGTGTGTGTGAGATCAGGAACGCTGAGAGAGTGTGTGTGAGATCATGAACGCTGAGAGTGTGTGTGTGTGAGATCAGGAACGCTGAGAGTGTGTGTGTGAGATCAGGAACGCTGAGAGTGTGTGTGTGAGATCAGGAACACTGAGAGTGTGTGTGTGTGAGATCAGGAACGCTGAGAGTGTGTGTGTGAGATCAGGAACGCTGAGAGTGTGTGTGTGAGATCAGGAACGCTGTGAGTGTGTGTGTGAGATCAGGAACGCTGAGAGTGTGTGTGTGAGATCAGGAACGCTGAGAGTGTGTGTGTGTGAGATCAGGAACGCTGAGTGTGAGTGTGTGTGTGAGATCAGGAACGCTGAGAGTGTGTGTGTGAGATCAGGAACGCTGAGAGAGTGTGTGTGAGATCAGGAACGCTGAGAGAGTGTGTGTGAGATCATGAACGCTGAGAGTGTGTGTGTGTGTGTGAGATCAGGAACGCTGAGAGTGTGTGTGTGAGATCAGGAACGCTGAGAGTGTGTGTGTGAGATCAGGAACACTGAGAGTGTGTGTGTGTGAGATCAGGAACGCTGAGAGTGTGTGTGTGAGATCAGGAACGCTGAGAGTGTGTGTGTGAGATCAGGAACGCTGTGAGTGTGTGTGTGAGATCAGGAACGCTGAGAGTGTGTGTGTGAGATCAGGAACGCTGAGTGTGAGTGTGTGTGTGAGATCAGGAATGCTGAGAGTGTGTGTGTAAGATCAGGAACGCTGTGAGTGTGTGTGTGAGATCAGGAACGCTGAGAGTGTGTGTGTGAGATCAGGAACGCTGAGTGTGAGTGTGTGTGAGATCAGGAACGCTGAGTGTGAGTGTGTGTGTGAGATCAGGAACGCTGAGTGTGAGTGTGTGTGTGAGATCAGGAACGCTGAGTGTGTGTGTGAGATCAGGAACGCTGAGAGTGTGTGTGTGAGATCAGGAACGCTGAGTGAGAGTGTGTGTGTGAGATCAGGAACGCTGAGTGTGAGTGTGTGTGTGAGATCAGGAACGCTGAGTGTGAGTGTGTGTGTGAGATCAGGAACGCTGAGTGTGTGTGTGAGATCAGGAACGCTGAGTGTGTGTGTGAGATCAGGAACGCTGTGAGTGTGTGTGTGTGAGATCAGGAACGCTGTGAGTGTGTGTGTGTGAGATCAGGAACGCTGTGAGAGTGTGTGTGTGAGATCAGGAACGCTGTGAGTGTGTGTGTGTGAGATCAGGAACGCTGAGAGTGTGTGTGTGAGATCAGGAACGCTGAGAGTGTGTGTGTGAGATCAGGAACGCTGTGAGTGTGTGTGTGAGATCAGGAACGCTGAGAGTGTGTGTGTGAGATCAGGAACGCTGAGAGTGTGTGTGTGAGATCAGGAACGCTGAGTGTGAGTGTGTGTGTGAGATCAGGAATGCTGAGAGTGTGTGTGTAAGATCAGGAACGCTGTGAGTGTGTGTGTGAGATCAGGAACGCTGAGAGTGTGTGTGTGAGATCAGGAACGCTGAGTGTGAGTGTGTGTGAGATCAGGAACGCTGAGTGTGAGTGTGTGTGTGAGATCAGGAACGCTGAGTGTGAGTGTGTGTGTGAGATCAGGAACGCTGAGTGTGTGTGTGAGATCAGGAACGCTGAGAGTGTGTGTGTGAGATCAGGAACGCTGAGTGAGAGTGTGTGTGTGAGATCAGGAACGCTGAGTGTGAGTGTGTGTGTGAGATCAGGAACGCTGAGTGTGAGTGTGTGTGTGAGATCAGGAACGCTGAGTGTGTGTGTGAGATCAGGAACGCTGAGTGTGTGTGTGAGATCAGGAACGCTGTGAGTGTGTGTGTGTGAGATCAGGAACGCTGTGAGTGTGTGTGTGTGAGATCAGGAACGCTGTGAGAGTGTGTGTGTGAGATCAGGAACGCTGTGAGTGTGTGTGTGTGAGATCAGGAACGCTGTGAGTGTGTGTGTGTGAGATCAGGAACGCTGTGAGAGTGTGTGTGTGAGATCAGGAACGCTGAGTGTGTGTGTGAGATCAGGAACGCTGAGAGTGTGTGTGTGAGATCAGGAACGCTGAGTGAGAGTGTGTGTGTGAGATCAGGAACGCTGAGTGTGAGTGTGTGTGTGAGATCAGGAACGCTGAGTGTGAGTGTGTGTGTGAGATCAGGAACGCTGAGTGTGTGTGTGAGATCAGGAACGCTGAGTGTGTGTGTGAGATCAGGAACGCTGTGAGTGTGTGTGTGTGAGATCAGGAACGCTGTGAGTGTGTGTGTGTGAGATCAGGAACGCTGTGAGTGTGTGTGTGTGAGATCAGGAACGCTGAGAGTGTGTGTGTGTGAGATCAGGAACGCTGTGAGAGTGTGTGTGTGAGATCAGGAACGCTGTGAGAGTGTGTGTGAGAGATCAGGAACGCTGTGAGTGTGTGTGTGTGAGATCAGGAACGCTGAGAGTGTGTGTGTGTGAGATCAGGAACGCTGTGAGAGTGTGTGTGTGAGATCAGGAACGCTGTGAGAGTGTGTGTTTGAGATCAGGAACGCTGAGTGTGTGTGTGAGATCAGGAATGCTGAGAGTGTGTGTGTGAGATCAGGAACGCTGAGTGTGTGTGTGAGATCAGGAACGCTGAGAGTGTGTGTGTGATATCAGGAACGCTGAGTGTGTGTGTGTGAGATCAGGAACGCTGAGTGTGTGTGTGAGATCAGGAACGCTGAGAGTGTGTGTGTGAGATCAGGAACGCTGAGTGTGTGTGTGAGATCAGGAACGCTGAGAGTGTGTGTGTGATATCAGGAACGCTGAGTGTGTGTGTGTGATATCAGGAACGCTGAGTGTGTGAGATCAGGAACGCTGAGTGTGTGTGTGACATCAGGAACGCTGAGAGTGTGTGTGTGAGATCAGGAACGCTGTGAGTGTGTGTGTGTGTGTGTGTGTGAGAGATCAGGAACGCTGAGAGTGTGTGTGTGAGATCAGGAACGCTGAGAGTGTGTGTGTGAGATCAGGAACGCTGAGAGTGTGTGTGTGAGATCATGAACGCTGAGAGTGTGTGTGAGATCAGGAACGCTGAGAGTGT